TGGCATCAGAGCGACTTCTGAATGCCAAATAGAATAGTTCTATGACCGGCGGTTTGGTTGATATTTAAATATGTACTACATGTACTCCGTTGCATTATGTATTCAAAGAACAGATGTACAGTAATAAAAATTAATTGAAGTGTATAATTTTAGTTTCTTTTATTTTTATGTACAATGCGCTCGAGTAATTGGATCCTTGTCAACTACTTGTATTGTTTGTTTTAACTGCTAAGAATGTTCAATGGAAAAACAAAGATTTATCAAGAAATTTCTTTATAAAAATTGCCAATAGATAATCGCTTTTCCGTACTTTATAGGAAGTAAAATCAGAGTTATCGTAACGTAACATTTGATGCAACAAAAATTATGTAACATTTTCACTCCTAAACCACTGAACTGTTTCAAATGAATCCTAATGCAGACATAAGTAGATAGAACCCTAAAGATCCTAAGCTACTGTAACGATGATTAGAGAACCACTAAGCTGGTATCTAATTAATAGATAATTCCTATTAATTTACATAACTCTCGGGTAATCTACTGCTATTTTAGGAAACAATCAAAAAGAAAGTTTTCCGTCATGGCCAGTAAGTATAATATAGTGTTGTTATAAAATACTCGGTACAAAGCGACCACGGACGGAAACTACGCTGCCATAATTATATTATTGTAATTAAAATTTACATAATCCCCGATATTTAGTTTATTACCCGTGCATAATCCCTAATTATATGTGTTTGTCTGTGTGTTGTGTTTGAGATATGCTTGCTCTATATTGGTTTGTAATTAACAAAAATATGTATTCAACACAATCATTTTGTCAATACAAATGTATTGTAATTATAATTACACAACTTAGAAAGTACGTAAAAATGTAAGCCAAAAATACCTAAATAGTGCCAAGTAGTCTTGGCACTATTTAGGTATTACTAGATACGTGTTTTAAATCGCTATCGCCATTCAATATTTCATCGCCATTTGCAGTAGCATTTTATTCCGCTCCCGCGCATCTATTGCTCGAGTATTGTTTATTACTTTGAAGAGAATAGAAAATGTATGTGACACTCTATAGTAACAAGAGAATAAAATGTAAAAATCAAGTGATCTTTAAGTACGTATTTCAAAACAAATCGAAAATGTGCTAGACATTTTTTTTCCTACAAAAACACAAGCTTGACTAGTTGTAAATTAAAAAGCAAACAGATTTTTTAATGTAATAATGAAATTGGACAAAGACGTATTAGATTTTTTTATTTCCAGTCACAAGATTGGTCTTGTGATGACCTTGGGGTCATAATAATTCTCAAAAAGTACTAAACACAACCAATTTTCAATATTAAATACAATTTTACAAACTTAAAACAGTTTCACAAGAAATACAAACTAGAATAAATCCACGCGCATATAGCACATGCAAATAAAAGCGTATAACGTTAACACTAGTGTCCACTTATATTTCTGTCGGCTCCCGGCAAGCCAGCCGGCGATATATTGCGAGATACCCCTCGTAATGTATGAAGCTCTTTATACTGCGTTTGCGCAGCTTTATTGCTTTCCAACTTAAGGTGTGAGTACACTTGGCGGGTTGAAAAAGGATAGTGTTTCTATTTTCTTTTAATAATGTACTTTATAAATGACAATTTAATTGAGATGGAATAAGTAACGATAAAGTTCTTTTTTAGTTGATATAAAATATTTAAATATGTATGTATGTAATGGTACTTGAATACCTATTAAAAATCTTTTTCTCGAAATAATTGATGAACTTGCTTAATATATAATTTATACTTATAGTTACTTATATTTGCTGTTCAGTAAACCCGTCCCTTATATATGACACTTATTAAAATATTCGTCAAAGTCAATGTTGTGGTTCAAATTCTTTTTTTACGTCAAGTGGATACGAACCTTTATTTGTTCAGAAATACAGGTGCATGCGCAAGAGTCTTTTATTTTCCATAATTCTATTTTATACTTATACAATTTATTGTACACGTTGTCAGTCGGGACAGACAAAGCGCGCCGACATAACTAGTATGCGCAAAGTAAATATTTTTTTATGAATTACTTCCAACGTTAAAAACAAATCAAGTCTGTTTTGTCATTTATTAAGGACAGTATTTTAAAATAAAATATATTTATTTAGTGCCTTTCATATTTTTTTCCTTTTCAAGACCCAATTAGCATAAAGACAATATGACTCATTTTATGATGAATATTTTAAAGCAATAGATGTTAAATTCAAAAGGAAAGTCACATTTTAAAGTTAAATGTACCAAAAATAAGGTTAATATCCGAAGTCCTGTTAAACCAAGCACATAAAAAGGAAATAATATAATACTTGGCACTGTAATAAAAAGTTGTATTAAATTATAATAAAAAAAATAAGGAAATATAACAAAACTTTTTAAAATGAAATTAAAAAAAGAAATATTTTTCGTTTTAATAAAAAAAGAACCTAACCTAATATAAACGCTTTCTTGGTAACTAAAAATAAATAAATATGTTTATGATGAAAAATGCACTTTTTTGGTAAGCAAAGATCTTTATCTTCATTTTAACATATTTATGCATTTAAAACAGCTTCTAGTTGTAACATTATTTGCATTTTTAATTTCACTATAAAGTGACAGAAGTTGTGTAAGGAAATTAATCTTACTCTCAATGTTTATGTGCATATAGTTTATGTCATTAAATTTAATTTATGGTACCATAGTCGCTGACAAAAATGTACATTTATGAAGAAATGTACCAAACGTGTTTTGAAAGTAACGTCTTAAAGAAGCCGCGGTCATTTCAATGCTTATTAAAAATATTTTATTCAATTATATTAATTCAAAGTTGGGCCGCTATATTATTAAAAGACTGGTGTATAATGTATAAAACCAAAGTATAATTATTAGTATTTGCTTCTTTAACACTATTATAGTCAAAATAATAATCCTATTTCGTTAATTAATGTGTGCAATATTCCGAGCAGAAATTACGCAAATGTAATATTTGTGTAACACTATTGTCTTATACAAGGCTACCATCATTATTATATTAAGAAAAATAATTGTATTTAGTCCACGCATTGTCCTAAATTTTCCCACTTAATTTCGAATCGTGTCAAGTGCAGCTCATAATTGGACTGGTCCAATTATTATGAATAGAAATTATTGTTTTAATTCATTATTCTACTTGCATTAAATATTCAACGTATTGTCCAATTAGTTAGAACAAGGCCGTTGTTTCTTAATGCCTTAATTGCCGCCATTTTGCCGTGTAACAATTTAGTTTTAATTAATTCTAATAAGAATGTTTGCAGATTGATGTTTAAAATTGTTTGTAAACTCTGAATACTAACCTAGGACACGAAACTAAGGACTAGGTTGGTCCTTTGTTTTGCAATCGATAAATCTGTGCACAGCCAGTGAGGTGCTCGATACGTTCATATTGCGATATCGGAGGTATTTCAAAGTTGAACTCGGAATTCTTGAGTACTTAGAGGAAGCACAGTACTTAGCGGTAGTTAGCGCTATTGTAACGCCATAAAAATAAACGTTATCTTGATTCGTAAATAACGTTATTAGAGTCATTGTGCCACTCTAGCAGACGCTCCTCAGGATTAGCCAAGAGCGCGGACAGCGACTAGAGGCGCGCATTGTCTCGCATTTCCCACAACGAAAATAAAAGTGAGAATTCAATCTTTCCTCGCAGCACATTAACGGTATCTCTCCACACTACAGTGAATCTAAATATTAAAACCACGTTACGAACATCCGGGTTTAAAAACCATGACTCGGCTCTCGTATAAGTTGTTTTACAAAATCGCTCCTATTATACTATTGTGGAAACAAGAACGTTACTTTAACTTACTTTATCAATTTAAGTAATCGTTAAACAGGAACGGCATTATACGCATGTGGCCCGGAGCCATAGCGCTGGCTGCAATGAAATCATAACGCTCGCATTACGTAATTTGGCCAACAAAAGGCAAATATTCCGAGCCATTCCGCTAGTTTATGTCTGCGAGACGGGTATTAAGGTAAATTGTACGTACAATTGCGCGCACGGGCCACTCGTTAGCCGACATGGGCTGACGTGACACCGAGCGGGCCGTATGTCGCATTGTTTCAGTTTTATGCGTACCCGACCTTAGATTAAATGTTAACTCCAAGATTTATGGCGGTCATGCGGAGGCTAGTTTAGTGGACGCTGAGGTCTTTCGTCGAAACGTTCAACTTTCATAACAGCCCAATTTGTGGGAGCGCTTAATGCGGTGTCGTGCACGGGCGCGCATGCTCCGCCTTTTTATTGCTGCCCCTTAACTGTACACAACACCCATTCTCTTGGGATTGTCTCGCTATTTGTAGATGAAGGAATGTTATCTCGAACACACGACACTTGTACTAAGGTGCACTGTGGGTAACAATGCGCCCGAATGTTAATAAAACGGACGTTTGATGATGATCTATACTCGTAAACTGAATCGGCAGAGCTTAGAGTTACGAGCTTACAGGTACTCGGATACGGTAAATGTCCGTTGTAAAAACTAGCGTAGTGAGCCAACACTTCACAGTTGCACGATAATCTAATTATAATAATAGTCTGTTAATCAATGCACACAGTTAACTTCTAAACGGAATTGATTGAGATTTACGAGACGAAAAACACAACAAATGGCTGGAAGTTAATTAACTCATGATATACGAACGATAGCAGATACGTGTCCGTTGTAAAACTAATAATTAATTAGAATTCCAAAAAGTGTCTAAGAACTTGTCTGGGTAGACCAATCTATTACGCCTTCACACAAGTTGAACGTCAGAATTTAAATCATATTATTATTATAAGTATTAATCTGACGTCTCTTGTGGTTTTAGACAATGATCTAATAAAGAAATTTAAACTTATAATTGTTTTATTTAGGATTTTACATTTAAATATCAATCTATATGATTCTTCGATAAGTTTACCCAGACAATCAAAAACAACAAAATTGGTCGGATTCTTACACTCACCAATCTTCGCTTGGGCTTGATCAGGGGTCGATTCTGTCCGTTCATCTTGTAATAGAGGCCGCACGCGTTGCAGAGGTAGTGTCCCGTGCCGTCACGTCGCCATAGAGGAGTGCTGGTCGCCCCGCAGTTGACGCATTCCCGTCCCTCTGTACGTAGACAACATAGTTAGTAGGACAACAATAAAAAAACAATCAAGATTCGCGTGAAAAGGCTTTAGTCAAGACAAAATTCAAAAATGGAACAGTTTCATTTGCAAAGAGATTACAAAAGAAGTACGGTAATCAAAATGTTAACAGCGTTAAATTAATAAAATAGCGCAGTAATGAGATCATTACAGACCAAAATTATAGTTAATGTGTTTATGCAACAGCAAAAGTAAGTAGTAAAGCGAAACGACACCAAAACCAAAGACAAGACCAAATAATAGGATTAATTGTATGAAACCATGGATAACGTAGCATTGTATGGAATATGGAAGGGTGGAAATTACCTGTTTCCTGGCAGGCTGGGAAAGATGAGAGAAAATCACATTCAGAAACATTACAAATATAATTTCACTAACAATGCATGCTAATACCAAGCACTTACATAAATGTTCTACATCATCCTTCACAACACATTTATCTTAACATCAACATAATTGCAATTACTACGAAAAAAAATAGTAAAATATTCAATTAACTAGGGAAAGCGCGACGAGTTTCACTTTGAAGAAAAAATATCAAGATTTTTTACACGCGAAGGAAAACTAAGAGAAAGTAACGCTTGCATCGGTTGTTAAGTTTGACTGACGACTGCGGAACGCCCTTAATTTATTCAGCAAAGGAAACAAAACTATTAAAAAAGTAGAAAGAATTGTCAAAACAAATCTATTAATATAAAATCGAGAACATGCTTATACAACAGTCCTCATTCATACAGAAATTAAAAAAATTTAATCATCCAACATGGTAGATCAATGGCGCATAATTTTACTGCAACAACAAAAGCGAGTTGCTACAAAAATAAATAGTTGTTGCAAAAACATTGGTGAGCGTCTAGTGTTAAACAGAGCGGAACCAGAGCTATAAACTATTACCCACATGCTAATTTTCGCTGTGTGTAATTGTACACCGATGTCTAAAACAATTTCAAACGCAAGCCATCGCACCTCATCCATGAACCGAGTTGAATTGCAAATCTTCATAAACGAATCGAAACAAAAAAGATCGCTTCATAAATTCTACGTTTGACACCTAATTCATCAAACTAGCCAAGCGATGAAATACAGAAACAAATAAAATGCTAAGTCGATACTTTACTCATGCGTTAACTTTATAAATTCATGCAAAATCTGACCCCAGGCTGAGCCGTCCTCCGGGAAACTCGTTTAAACGATTTTTTTAAACATCACAATAAGCAATTTTACCAAAGTGCTTACATGGTTAGTGAGAGGATGTGTTCACATATGGGATGCGCGTGCGCCGCCCACAATCTTTCCCTAAACTCGATTACACGATCAATGATTTACTGAGATCGAATTTAAAAGCTCGTTACACCTTCGCATCCTCCTTAGAGGCGTTCGATAACAAACTAAGTACAATCAGTGTGGGAAATCTGAGGACGCGTGACAAACACCCGCCAGCACTTATCTATAACTTTGTTTGTATAGAACTGGTTCGAGGCGAACATATCGATCGGAAGTATATCAATAGGTATCATAATTATTATGTATCTAGATCTGATTATCCAAGTCCCAAGACACAGCAGGCCGGCGCGCTGAATAAATAATAATAGTACGCGGGAAACACCGCGACGAAGGTGAAAGTGCTCGAATATCTGATAGAAAAAAATATGTTAAACGAACCAAAAATGTTTTACGAGCTTTAGGCAGTGCAGCCATTCATCTTTTTTATGTAAAACCAGATCAAAACCGGCAATTAAATCGCCCGGACTTTATCGAAAACTTATTGCGATCGGGCCAACGACTCACTTTTTGGACTAACCCTTTATATTTTTTGTTACATCGATAAAACCTGTAATTTGTATCGAAGTTTGTAATAAATAAACACCAATAACGATTATTAGGAAAAAATAACAGGATATTACACGGGCTGCGATGTTTTATGATAGTGTCTCTAGCTAGAGACGGATTTAGTTCATTAGTAACGTCTCTATTGGTAAAAACATTTGTGAAAGCCCGTGGAGCCGCGGGCGGCGACGTTTCACAAGATTTACAGCGGCCTGCCCCTCATACATCGACATTACACGTATTATTAAAGAGAACACTGTTCTGATTAATTACTATACGATTTAATTGTTCGATCCGGTCCAATGGTAACATTTTAATACATTCACACCGAAGAGTTATATCTTAATTTCCCCTGACGGACGATCTGGCCGCGGCCGCGGCTCCGCCCGGCACGCGTGATTTAGACTCGACATAAAGATATCATTTTATTTGTCCGTAACGGTACGACTCCGCAGAGACTGCCTATCCTGATCTACTGCAAAACGTATGAGGCTAAGCGAAAAATTCCAGTGTTTATTCAAAATTAGAATGCGGCGCGCTCTTTATAGCCCGGAGTGACGTGCGCTCGTGACGCGGCGGCGCTACGTGACCGCGATAAAAGATTTTCATCTGCCATATTTACGTAGGCGAGTGGGCGGTTTTTATTTTTCGAGAGTCTCCAGGCTCTCGGGCCCATCGAGGAGTCGCAAAGTTTTCACACGCTCCCGAGTCCCGCCGCGTAGGGAAAACACTGCACACGGCGCGTTTCGCTGAGAGTGCAGCTCGCCACTCGAGCGATGTTGACCTCAGAGCTATCGATGCGTTCGAAACAAACGAAGCCGGCCCGTTACTGCTCGATGAAACCACAAAGTAAAAACTCCTACATAGTCACGTATAACGTTAATGTGTATCAGGGTAATGTAATTTAAATGAAGGACTAATTCGCTCTCGTGTAGCGTGACGCGCTCTCTCGGCGCATCGGCCCATCAACACGTAACGGTGAGGCTATTTTGCATACAAACCATTAAATTATTGCTCAAAACTTATTCTTTGTTGCGCCACAGAGGCTGTTATTACGCTTTAATTATATGCCTGTATGCAAATAGAAAAATTTAATGGAAGCTGATGGTCTCGCTCGAGGTTTATTTTTATTGAGCATTGTGTTGCCAGGAAATATGTTAAAAGCAAAAAAGAGATGTTACAAGTCATTGACTGGCTAATTGCATTTCACTTTTGTTTAGTCATTTAGTATCGGTTGATAGTAGGTGGTGGTACAGTATGATAACAAGCAGTGATCAGGAATGAAGTCATTTTTCACGGCGCCTGCACTGTGGACCGGCGCTGTGGCGGTCGGCGCGACGCACGGTGGCGCGGTGGTGCGGCGGTCGGGCGCTCGTATTTGCATTCGTTATTAGCATATTGCGAGATAATTACGTGTGACGAGCGATGCGATGCCGCTCAGTAGCAACTTGCACTGAACCCGATGTAATTATTATGTACCGGTCGTGTGATGTCCGAGTAACAGCGCACTCATCTAACGACCGGTCCGCACTATGATTTTTTGCTAAAACCAGACTTCACTTAGCTCTTCGATTTGCATGAACTATAAGCCGCTCGAATGCTGCGTGATTGCAAGCTACGTACTAGCACAACATCTCTGTCCTGTGATTTTATAATTGTATTAATAGCCGCGGATGTCCAACGCAAAATGCAAATTTCAAGTTGATGCAACTGTAGGCAACAATACGCGTCGGCAGACCGTGACGAATTTACTATACCTAACAACACTAACTTTATACAATAACTTGATCCTACACTCTATAAACGAATTGGTGAATAAGTAACCAAGTTAGTCGAGACGTGAGAGAAAGATTTATGATTTGTGTTTAGTGTTGTCTGTTAGCATTAAACTGGACAAAAAGTATTGCGTCGTCAGGCAAAAATAATAACACATTAAGAGTTGGTCGGAGCCTCATTCCTGTTGTGTGGCGGTCCGTGGCGCGGGCGCACGGCCACAGCTAATTGGTTGCGCAACAGCGATGCGAGCATGTTGCTGCAACACGCTACGTGTATCTTAACCCGAACCGAATGATACACGCGAAATTTTCTGTTCCGCTGTCAACGTTAATGTTATAATTAATTAATTATAGATTTTCACACGGATTACTCGCGATATTCATGCGGCTTCAACTCTTACTGCAAAGAGGCAGGAGAGACAAGTAGACAGAAAGTCTCATCATTGTGTCAGACCTATGTATAATGAAGGTAATTTATTATAAGGCTTACTTTCAATATCTGCTTTCAACGTCTAAAGCCATATTACCTTATAACGCTAAGAAAATAATCGCAAGATTAACTAGGTAACAGTCGAACAAAGCGGCTGCATTTGAATTGTTATTGAACACAAAATCATTGAATAATTTGAATAGTCTAAGTGAACGCAACATTGTTTTAGAAAGTGTTGAATGGTACTGTTTAAGAAATAGCTTGTATAATAACAGGTTACTATTGGAACTGACCGTTTATTATTCGAATTGCCCTTTCCATGACATTCTTCTAATACAAACTCCGTTTTAGGTCACGATTTTTCGATTGTTCGATCTAAATGCTACGTTGTACTTAATCTGGTATCATTAATTCGTAATGCACAAAGAACTGATAGGTACTACAACATTATCCGATGTTCTGGAATGAAGGTTGCAGTACTTAAGTACCTTGATTGATTCACTTAACGACCAACTGTGATAATCTTTTGCATGCGTACTTGAACTATGAAGTCTATGAATGCAATCACTGTCAATTTTTTCCATCAGAATAACTACTGTCTTTGATCCAAAAATGGCAAACTATAGTCTTGGATCGTAGCTATGAAATGCTGCATTAATTTGTCCTAAAGTCCGTATATTGTAATAGGCAGGAGGCTCGAGGTCAGGCGATCGCTAGCACAATGGAATGGTCCACATCCGGCCGCCGCACATTAACATAATACCGCTTCCACCAAGGAACTGCCACCTACTGCCCGACATAGCTACCTACATATGTACTATACACTCAGTACCCCTACAGACAGCTCAGTACAAGTACTGAGATTATGATCTACTACCATTCAGAAAAAAATATCTAAATGAAAACTTCTCCAAAAACCCACGAATGAAAATCCATTACAAACGATATAAACAACACACTAAAAAATAAATTATTATCTATATACTAATTAAAAAAACATCGTATACCGTTGTTTCATATTGATTAATTGTGAAAAAAATGTATTAAAAACAAATCATTCGGGCAGCGTGTTACTATCAATTAAACAAGTGAGCTAATAAACTATTTCCAATTACAAACATACATTATATAGCGAGCGTGTATTGAGTTTTTTACGACAATTATCAAGAACACGTCGAGTTTAACAAAAACTTAACGACGCGTAACATTGGGTAAATTAGATTAAATACTTTAAGAATATGTATAACGTATTTCATAGGCTGTATTTTTTACCAATCTGCATTTCGAAAATGGACTGTAAATTATCTGTGGGAGAATTTTATAGTCTGTGCCGACTTAAATGTCAAGTGACATTTTTAATCTACGCTCGGTCTAAACAATGATTGTATTCATTGCGCAATGAATATTTAATATTTAATTGAACATAAATTAAATGTGAAATAAAATAGACAATACTCGGATATAATTACTGTCGACATTTAAGCTCCAACAGAGTATCTTTGTTTTATAACACTCAAAAAAGAATTTGCGAAAAGAATTAATAGGAGAGATTTACATTTTCATAATACACGGAAGTGTAAAAGAATAAATAAGTGTCTACTTAGTTAATGGCTTTATCCGACGCAATTAACGTTGCGCCTACTTTTTCAATACGATTCTAATTATATCATGAGAAATCCATTATAACAATCGAGATGCGGCCGCGTTCGTGAACCAGCATGCTAATCCATTTAAAATTTCACTAAATATTGAACAAACATAATTGTAACGGGAACTATTTAATTGTCTGTCTATATTAACAGTCATTGTACATAAATCTGCGCATTCATTATTCTAATATGAGACAATAAGCCGCCATTTTAGTTCCCGTCCATTGTCAAAGTTTAACAAGTACGGGAGATATAATTACATTTTCAAATATCAAATAAAGCTGCATTATGTGGTGTTAATACAATTAGTGTTGTGTAACTCTTTGTGTTATGTTGGCAATGACGTGGCGTGGCTAATGGCTAGGAGTGCTCTCGTTACGAAAACGCATCTAACAATTAAAGGTCACCGCTGAGTTTGACTGTAATTATGTAGGACTTCTATGTGGAATTAAGAAACAAACATCGTTTACTTGATTGTGAAAGTAAATAAAAGCAATTCTCCTAATTTAGAGGAGTGTCACGACACTTGATAGAAATCTGCTTAAGAGAATTTATTTAATTATCTAGTTAGAAAACAATGGCAGGTCGCAATTAAATAATGAGAAACGTCTAGTTTGTTTGGTCAACATCAGTCGAGGCCGCATCGGTTCACATGTACCACGGTAACAATGAAGTGCGCCCGTCCGGTCCGGCTTACACCGTAAATATATTAGACAAGTTAATTGGGGAATTCCTATTCTCATACACCGACGTAAGATTGATTAAGTTCGCTTCGAAACTATACACCTTTCAACTAAATGCAACCACGATTCCCGCTACTCGCAAACTGAGAATTTATCACGTTCAGTAACTGCAAAGAGCCAATACATAAATTATTAGTACAACACCTCCACCACAGAGTAGTTAGTAAGAAGAAGCGTTAGTACCCGACATGATCCCAAGCCCTAGTACCGTGTTAGAGACTCGTGAGGCGCCACAACCCCTGGTGCAAGAGCCGCGCTTATCCGAACACATCACGATATCACTCGACAATGCCATTTGGAAACCAAATGAAATATTAATCTTGCTACGTTTATCGAATTAATATATCTCAATTGTCGATGAGACAATCTGTAGAGATTCTAATTACGCGGGATATCTCCGCTGCCATTCTGTAAAGGCTTCTATTAGACCGCGGATGGTCGCGTATTTGATTTATTAACTGATTAGAGACCATTTAAATGAAAGCTATCCTAGGCGTAATGCGAGTCGGTATCGTGAGCGAGAGATTTGGATCATCTGAATCGCTTACAGTGATATCTTTAGTTAGTGACGTAGTATTAGAGCGTGGTCGGATAAGCGCGGCGAAGTGGTGAGTGTGAGTGCACGCAGCGGGAGCGGTGCAGTGCGGTGCGGACCGCGGACTCACCGGCGCTAGTTCGCGTCTTGTTCGGTCGCGGCTTGCTCTGCTGCTGCCCACTATAACCCTTCCCCTGGTAGTTGTAGTAGTCGCCGCCGGCGGCATTGTACTGCGCGTTGTATTCCCCGGAGGGCTGGCTCGACTCCTGGGGGCACGAGTCTGGCTGCGCACCTTCGCGCTGCTTCGACGGCGGTGCGCCCATCATAGGCTTCACGTCGCCACACAGTGGCAGCTCCTGCTGCTGCTGCATGAAAGCGACGCTCATGGCGGTGGCGTGCGCGACGGCTGCCTGGTAATCCTGCTGACCGAGCGCTGCTGCCGCCACGGAGTCTGGCGTCGAATCCTTCGGCGGCGTCGGGGGAAACGAGAACAGGGGGTGTGGGTGGTGATGTTGCGCGGGTGACAAGGGTTTGTCTGCCTGCGCCGCATCTTGCTGGAAGCCACTACCCCACGCACCACCGCTTAGTGCCTTGGACTCTAGCCAGGGATGCAGCGGCGTGTGGAAGTGCGGCCTGCACACCTGCCCGCTGCCGCCGCTCAGCGTTCGACCTGCACATAAAAACAAACCATTCAAAATCGACTCAATCGTAATAGTGATGACGCCTCCGCAATTTGATTCGTAAACCTCTCATGTTTACGAGCGTTTAAGTAACCATTATCGTAGCTCAGATCCTGCGATAGACAGTCATTGTAACACGAGTCCGAACATCAAAACTTCTTGTCATTAAAGCGGACAATTTGGAGGCGTTTTGTTACCCCAGCGAGCTGAACTAAATTAATATCATTTGTATCTAACAACTGGTCTTTCACACGACATCTTCATTCTCAAATATTGTAATTGTAATCATGAATATTCCGGGTTCTAATGGCTATTTGATAAACAAATAATGGAGGCATTACGCGGGTCTCGATGGCTGCGTCCGTGAACAAAAGGCCTTACTTTTCCGAAACGTTTCAAAAGCGGCGTATCACAACACCGAACAATTAAAATTGTAGGCCAGCTGGAAATTTCATTAATTATGTACGTAGTAGTGTTAGTTTTGATTATACGCTGTGTTCATTAGTTTGCATACAAGCTTCGTAAATGTTTTGATCGTTATGTCTAGTCCATCGTTTGGACCTTGTGCAGTTTACTTGGTATCATAAGTGAGGGTTTTAAAATGCTCATGTATTGTCGCACCCTATTTTAATTTACGAAACAACATTCGTCAATGATTATTTATAGAAGAGAAAGCAAACATATGTACCTACATGTGCATTTGTTGGCCGAGGGTGGCGGTGGTAATGATATCTGTGTTCGTGCACCGTTCGACGATTGGTTGATTTCAGTGAGGGGCGCATCCCTTCATGCTGTTCCCTACGGTAAGCCGGCAGGAGGCACAGAGGTCGAGCATCCCCGCGGCGCACTGCGGGTACTTAACAACTAGTTACACTCAACTTACTGCCAAACATATGTCTATGTGATTTCAATGAAATACGATTGAGCTATACTGCATTGCATTCACAATACCTACGCAGATGCTGAGAGAGATAATGCAGCACAAATTAATACCTTGACCTTCCGAAACAAAGCTGGCCGATTATAAAATGGTATCGTTGCGTCAATGAATTCGTCGCAAACAATGTTGTAGATATATCTACACAAGCCCGCATCGTGTCGATCCAGGTGTCGATCGCAGTTTGAGATTATCAGTGATTGTTATCACAAGGGCACCCGTACATTGCGGCCTAGTCACGGCTAGACCCGCTGGGGGAATGAACTGTACCAGCAGTGAATGTTGAAATTACACATTTAATTAGTAACATCTGATAAGTTTATATCACCTGAAACCTTCGATCGAACCGGAGGCAGTGTCCCCAAATCGTATGACAGATTGTAATGACTGGAAATCTGATAAAAGTTTTTAAAAATAAAGGTACAAAAGAGTCATTCATGACATATTCATGAGACAATTGAAACATATAGATTTCAATCGGTCCTCAACTTGCAGCTATCATAATTATTTTAGAGGGCCAGTTAGTCCAAACCGAATTGCGTTGGACGAGTTAAACTGTCGATAACATCGCAGTGGACTTCAGTGAAATAATCGAACATCGGGCGCCGGAGTCATTACAGCAAACAACACGGAATAAAACAATAATCAATCCGTACGGCGTCACATTAGGCCGAGTACACACAACAACGTTTTGACAGCGTCCGCGACAACCGGGAGCCACCCCTCGCGCGTTAGGCCGCGTTCACAATAGCCCCTGCGATGGCGGGCCGATAACGCGCGTATGAATAATTCCTGTTATCGCACCATCTCGCCACATGCCCTACCTGGCCGCTACCACGCTTCTCCAAAACAGCCGTTCCAACGCGACAGTTTAATCCGTTTTCATGCAATATTCCAATAAAGGCGATTTTCCAGCGATAACTTGGTACCGGGTGGCCACCAGCGCTTTTTATTCATTAGAGGGCTGCAAGTTTCGGCCATTGTACTAGATACGCAGTTTGTATACCACTAAGCCTTGATTGTTATGGGATTTCGTGTTTTACAAGCACGAGAGCCTAATAGAAAAAAAAAAACTATAAACAGAAGGCAAGTAAGCACAGTGGAAATTGAATTAGGAGATCCGCTTTTGTTATTATCTCTAGATCTCTGTGACAATGTGAAGTTCTTTTGAATGGAATTTTGAAACCAGCTCGTATTATTAATAATTGTAATTGCTGTTAGGTAAATATATAAAATAGAATAAGGCGTTCCCTCTATTTTGCGGATATCCATGGTAGCATTAGTATAAACTAACCACTTGGAAAATATTTCGTTTTTATTTCGCTGAAGGAATAAATCTGCATCATGTGCAGATTCGCAGATTTGCAGATTCGCAACAGTCAAAAAGTCTTCATTCGATGCTGATGATGAACATTACAGTGAAAAGGCATGTTTAAAAAAATATCATAATGAACAAATATACACCACACACCTAAGCAAAAATGACAATCAATTCTCAAACGTCATAGGGGTCAATAAATCAGCATTAGTTGAAACCCTCATTTCTCACACAGTAATTAAAGGCAAGTAAATACGAAAATCAAATCATAAACCAATCATAGTTAAGCCGTTAGTTCCCACAGACGGCGCCGAAACAAAACACCGGAATTGAACCCCGGCCCTTGCCATGTGACTACCCCCGGCAGATGCAGCGAGAGATCTTATCACCGCGCCACAGGGCACTAACACTGGTGTTCAAATTGACGATGTACACCCGCCTTATGCATTTACTGTAACGGTTTTATAACCCTTCGGATTTTTTTCGGATCGCGAAATTTTCACATACTCATCGAGCGGGTTAAAAATAATTAAGGTACTGGCTGGTTTGCGCTTTTACGCGGGCTTTATCTGTTAAAGATAGTAACCTATTTGGTCCCCTAACAAAAACAACCGACCAGTAACATTTATGATCGAATTTTATTTTAAAATTCAAAATTGGAATGCAAATTCAATTACTATTGCGTATTTTATAACTGTGGCTTGTTACTAAATTTATCAAGCTTCACCACTTATTATCGTATGCTTTAGTACCTACGATACAATAAACACTTTCCTAGTATGTTACAGACCAGCAGTTGTCTCTTTCATTATGTTTATGGTAATGAGATTAAAACTGGTGGTATGACTGGCAGTGAAAATTATTTTTTTGCATTTCATATAAGAGTGGACGCCAAATTTATCGCATTCATATTTGATACCAGTAAAAATTCATTGAGTCCATTAACCCGCCCCTTGGTCTTGCATCCACACAAGCGTTAAGGCGTGGTTACACTGAAACCGAGCTCCCTCCTTTATGCTCCTCGCTTGCGGCGAAAATTGCCCCTTACGGCTCAAAGTGCCTCGTAACTGGTGCATATGTACGTAATAAACTATAATGTGTGTTGTGCCCGGCGTGACGTCTTCCGGTGACAGTTACAACTCGTAATAATTATAACCTTAGAGTTAGGTGATTTTATTGCACCGACTACATGCGTTTTAATGAAAAGTAATCATGTTTTCTATGGAATTAAATTATGATATAAAAGTCAACGGAAAATAAATAATATTTTCTTTTAAATATGGATTGTTTTAGTAATAACTGCTATTTTCTGAATAAAAACGAAATGTGTTGTACCAGGTAATTATATTAATTGGGATTGATTCATAAAGAGAAGTGACAGGCCTCGTGAGAAGTTTCCCGGGCCGCGTCAAGGTCACACGGACAGCGTCGTCCAGTCTGCCGCGGTTTATTTGCACGCCGTGACATCAACCGCATCCGCATGCGAGTTGCGTTCTCGCGCGTGTGTTGACGCCTTTACAACCACCAATACGCACGCCATCTTATCCCTTCCACTTATTGTATTTAGACGTGTTATCCTTTGTTCCCGCGGCGGATCATTACGTGCCCGATCATCACGACATCGATAATCCCTATGTACGTTGTCATAAAGGACACATTCCCTCGATGAACGCGCCCTGTGAAATGTCCGACGTGTTAGCGAATGATAAATGTAGGCGTCGGTATCGCGTATCGGATCTCACCGTTCGCACGCCGAATTAATTTTAATTTATTGATCGTCGTATCGACGACGAGTATTTTAGGTGCCTACTAACGTCGTAACGCTGCTTTGCTTTTAAAGTATTTATTTACAACATTGTCTTTTTACCGATTTAATATATTGCTGGTGTGGCAAGCTAATTCTCATGATTCTTTTGTTTTGCTCTCGCCTTGTTTTTGTCCAAATTATACAGCTTAACCGACTATTTGCATTAATATGTTAAGTATCCGCGTACTTTCTTATGCATTCTTCACATAAACGTGATGCATAACATGTTATTTCCGATTTGGGTTAACATTATTTAAATGGACTTCCCTTTAACTCCGGAATTATGCAATTCGAAATATGGACTTTGTATGATTGCCATAATATAAATTCTACTGCTGAAATATACAGCAGTTAACTCTATAATTGTCAGTAACAATATAAAACGTTTATTGTGACTGAGTAAGGAACGTCTGCGAGCGAGGCATGACGCTGACGCTGACGCGACGGACCGATGGAAAATATTCGCACGCTAATTAGCCGGATTTCCCTTATTATGAAACTATGTAAATTATATTTGGGGTAATAAAATACCTTTATTTCAAAATTTGTTCGATGTTTATTTTACGATGCTTGGTAACTCTATACTTAAAAGTGAAACCCAAACAAAACCAGTTGCGAAGTGTCGTTGCTTTATGCTTATTTCTTTGTGCATTTTATGCAGTGCTCATTCTGTGGTACGATAACTATGTTTACCGAGCAGATAACATACCTTGTGGAGACTTTATCGATCAAACGGTTATGAATGTCGCTCGCTTTTGCAATAGTGATTGACTTCAAGTTCGAAAACGTCAATGAACTCAGTCGAGAATTCGGGGAACGCAATCCGCGGCTGAAGTCGAAAGTGTCCAAACGTGAGAGTTAGCTGTCGTACACTCATATACTCCGATAGCGCTGTGTGTGTCTTGTACGAGCTATTTACTTCTAATTC